TTCTATTGCTCAGGGTTAGAAAGAGCTATTTGACAATGGAGTCAGTTATCCAGAAGGGTGGTTGATTCTCCTTCATTGGATGTGTCCAAATGGAGGCTAAACTACCATTTGTCTGAGATACTTGAAAGTGGGTCTTTTCATTGAACAGGGAGATGGATTCTATTGTCTAAATAATCTCTTCCTATTCTATTTTTTTTATTTCTGGGGCTATAAGGCAGATTGAATTTTAAATTAAAACATTGGTTGGTGCATCTACCAGGGGTATCACCAATGCTTTTCAATTAAATCAGTTTGCACCCCATCAGAACAATGAGACGTACAGGCCACTAAGGGCCTGTGCAATGTAATCAGATCCAAATCATATACAGCTCATAAAATAAGGATACTACTGTACTGGCCCATAGCACCAGAAGAAATGTAGTTTGTTCACTTATTATGCTGTTATGGTTTGGTTTGGGGTTCTGATTTAGTGAGTTGTGAACCATTGTTTGACCCTGGTTTACTGGACAAACCACAATTGGCTGGAGTTGAAAGCAAGTAAGGCACATTTTGGTTTACCACTATGTCGATTTTGGTCAATTGTAGGTAAATAAATTATGCCTCAGAGATGAGGTATTAACTCTGATAACCTTGATAACAAGCATTTTATTTACAAAGTCAGCCATAAACTATATTAATATAAATGTTATTTTATATGGGTGTTTGTGATGGGGTTATTCTATTTTTTTACGTTTTGAAAGAAAAGAGTGATGTTGCTGTCCTATGTGTTGCAGGTTTTCTAATTTATTTTGGCTATGGAATTCATCACAGCACAGAGAACAAGAAGAATAAAGATTCGTCTCTAGAGAAAACAACTCATTTAATAAACAGCACAGATTCAAATGTCACTTTTAAAAAATGACTCTAAGGAAACTATGGCGTGAAATGGTTTATTTCATAACAGTGCTTTCAATGTCATCCATTTACTCCTATTTCTCAATAGGTAACAGAAATGAAAGCCAGTTTAATGCAGAAGTTAAGGCATTAGGCTAGAAACCTGGAGTCCATGAATTCTAATCCCATCTTAGGCACAAATCTCACGTCTATGTGACTTTAAGAAAGTCCTTCTCTCTCAACCTGAGGAAGGAGCAAAGGCAAACCACCTCCAAAAAAAAAAAAAAACAACCCACCCTTGCCAACAAAATTATAGGGACTAGTCCAGGCAGTTACCAAGAATCAAAAATTGAGTCAGAAGAAAATTAGAAGAACAGATAATTTAATTAATATCATTCATATCCACTAGATTAGGGCTGACAAACTCACAGTCCGAGGGCTGGATGCATCATGTGCTGGCCACGCCCATCCCCATTTTAGCGAAGGGGAGAAAGTCGCAATACGTCACGTGACGATGTGACGACGCGAGTTTGACACTCCTGCACTAGATGCTTGCTGGTTGGAAGACAGCAGTGTCAGTGCAGAAAGCCTACACATTACCAAAATGGTAGAGCTTGAATCACAATGCCATTAACATCATCCTGAACATTCCCTATCCTTTACATATTTTTCTGTAATGTTTTATCACTTTGCTATCTTCATAGCTAGGGTTAAGCAATTCTGAGTGTAGAGGCATCTGATACTTGAATCTATAATGGCCAAAGTGTTCAAAAAAAGGAGATATATTTGTTTTTGATTTCCAATTTTTCCAAACTTCCTCAGCTCCCAAATCATCAAGAAATTCTAACAGCATTCTTTCAGACCAGAATCAAGTGCAGTGTTTGTGCTGTTTTTGGAGAGCCAGAAATTGCTCATTTTCACTTGGGGCTACTAGGACAGGAGGTAGGTGGTAAGGTGAGCTTGCCTTTCAGAAGAATTTTTCCAAATCTTTGGTCCACGGTTGGTCTGTGACATTATTCTCTTTGAAAAATGAACAAAAGGCTATCGTGAGCCACAAATAATGATGGGGTGATTTCCCAAAATGGCTAAAAGTAAAGTAAAACAATAATAAGCAATAACTTCTCTTGCTGGCTGGTTAGCCCCCCCAAATAATCCTTTTTTTTAACGGGTACCAGCATAAGGGTAGGAAAAGAATTACATTGTCAATGATCCACATTTGTTTTACCTGAGTCTTATGTAAGTCTTCAGTTATATTTTTCAATTCATTATTCTGCCTTTCATAATAATAATCACAAGACAGCTTGTGCAAATTTAAAACACTAAGAAAAGCAATAGTAGGGATAATAATATGGATAAGAGAGTTTGCTGGCTATTTATATATAACTCATCCAAACAGTAAATTCTAGTCTCTGGAAATACTTTCTCAACCCCTTTTCGTAGTAGAAGTTATTTGTTTTGTTTTTGTGATATCTACTTATGATTTTGGAATTTGCATTAAGGAGAGGGTCTCTTTTAGGAAATGGGCAGAAATATTCTTCTATTACTGAACAGAAGGTATTGTCATTACTAAATGGTTGCACCTCATGAAAAGGACCATTACCAGTTGTAGATCAGACCAAGTCTAGGCCTCACTTTTAGCTGCACCAATATGCAAATACTACCTTCCTCATATTTTTAATCATAAACATCACAGTATTATTTCTGGAGTGCTTTAATAAAAAAAAAGGATGTGTTCACAGAAAAAAAATTCACACAACAAGAAAAATAGGCATCTATAAAATGACATTTTAAAACAGTGTTTGTGAATTTTATGAATATTTCTGATATTAAATTTATCATTTGTCTCCACCATTTCTAAGTAAGGCATCTTAAGGCATCTGGTAAGGCAATTCAGCGAAAAGTCCAAATAACTTTTTGAGAATATATATTTAAAAATGCAAATACTTGTTTAAATATTATTTTTCATTAAAAAAACGGTATTCACTGGTTTTCTGGATAAAAATATAGGGAAAAACAGCAGTGGCTGACTTGTGCTTTTACTGAGTTAGTCCAGGAATAAGACTTGCATTTTTCTTATTAGAACTTCAGTTCTGTAACTAGTAGTACTGTAAATTGAAGGATCTCTAATACAGAAATACAGAAAGGCAGTAAAGCCAAATAATGTACTTGCTAATAAAGTGGTTTTCTAACACACAGTTATATGAGTGAATAGCTACTGCTGGAAATAATTAAGCTATGAGAACTGAGCTGCTAAAATATGGCAGTAGATGGCAGTAAGGAGATAAAGAAAGTATAATTTTTTGGTTGCCATCTGTGACTTATCTGGAATTATGTATTTCAGATCTAGTGATTCTAGTCAATCGAGTCTAGTGATTACAGCATCAGGCTAAAAACCAGGGGATTGTGAATTCTGGTCCCATTTTAGGCATTAAAGTCAGCTGGGTGACCTTGTGCCAGTCATTCTCTTATACCAATTTAACTCACAGGGTTGTGGGAAAAATATCAGGAGAAAGGAGTATTAGGTATGTTTGCTGTCTTGAGTTATTTTTTTAATTTATTAAATTTATATATCGCCTATCTCACTATCCAAAGTGACTCTTTATAAATTATTCATAAAAATAATAAAGATGAGATTAAATAAGTACATATTTCCTGTAATCTGAACTGTTACTAGAGTTTTTGTAAGCACTGGAGCTATGATGATCATTTCAAATATTACTCATGTCACAGTGATTCATACTTGCAATAATGTGAAAATGTCTCCCTGCAAAAAAATTCCTAGCATATTATAGGAAGCAAAGAACCAAAACCAAATACCTCTCCTGTACCATCTTTTCAAGATCAGGAAAATAAAGAGTTTACAGTTGTAAAAGGGATTGACAAAAGTGATAGGCATCACTGGGGCCAAAGGTGTTGCATTGGGGATGACTTCTCACCTGCTGTTTTTTCATTAATCTATAATAATTAATACACATAAAAGAATGTGTATTCTTATCTTTCATTATCTCATTTAAGAACCCAGATATATGACTTGATCCTGCAACCTGCAATCCTATGTTCCGTTGGGCTTGAATATTTATCTATAGGACACCATTTATCCATTGTTTTTTGGCATAATGTGCCATCGTACATAACCCTGTATATTCCTTTGTATAAATCATTCTGAAAAACACAGTAGATGTTCCTACAAAAATCACTTCTTGAGAACTAGGCTTGGCCAATATGGTAAATCAAGAGAACCAATCAAAATAATGGACAGAGTGATGTTGCCCAGGAAATTTTTAACCGGTTACTGCATAAGTGCTGGTGTTGAATATGGAGAGCTTTTATGGAGTTTTCCTAGAACCATAGTACAACTTGGTCATCTAGTTCCTGCTGATACAGGATCCACTAGAGCAGGGGTATCAAACTTGCGGCCCATGGGCCAGATGCGTCACACACTGGCCACGCCCAGCCCCGGTTTAGTGAATGGGGAAAAAGTTGCAATACGTCACGTGACGACTATGTCGTCGTGAGTTTGATACCCCTGCACTACAGCATCTCTGACCGCTGACCAACTCTTTGGTGAGGTAGAACTCACCACTTCATGTAGCAGCCTATTATACCAAAGGACATCAGTCAGAAAGATATTCCTAATATCTAACCTGAATCTACTTCCTTGTAGCTTTAATCCATTGGTTCTATACCATTAGGCAATAGAGAATACATCCATTCTTTCTTCTATGTAATAGCTCTTCAAATATTTGAAGGCTAATATTTGAATATCTCCCCTCCCTTATGTAGGCTAAATACACCAAGATCCTTTAATTGTTCTCCATCTTGGTCATCCTCCACTGAACCTGCTCCAGTTTGATGAGATCCTTTTTGAACAGCAATGTCACAACTGGATGTAATATTCTACATGTGGTCTAATCAGGGCAGAGTAGAGTGAAAAAATTACCTCTCATTATCCAGGAACAGTTTTGCCCTGAACAATTTCTATCACTTGGATAGAAATTATGTGTTGGAAAGGGTCACTCCAAAATCAGATTTTGTAGCACACAGATTTATCTACAGGGCAGTTCAGAAGTTAGTTAAATCTTTGTAATGTTTTTCCAGGATAAAACTATATCAGCTTTCCTTGAATATATAGCAATACTAAGTACCAATATTTATTTACTTCATCAATGTCTACATTGCACTAGAATAATAAACATCAATTTAATTTCTTCATTAGAACAATGTATTTTAACATCCAATTTCTTTGAATTTAAATTATTACATGTCTATAGTAGTGCTTTCAATTTGACAATCACTTTTTTAATGTAACTTGTAGCACCACCCTACAATCAGTAGAGGGCATTGTCATTTATCAGCTTTACAAAACAGTCATACAATAAGAGTTTTGATCTCTGTTCCATTTTTGAGAACCATTCTAATATACCATTCTCAAAATTTTGAACCAGCAAAGAGAGACCCTGTCAAACAAGACAAAAGAGTTTGATTCTGGAAGCAAATTAATTAAAATAATTCTTTTTTCCTTGTCTTCCAAATCTATGGGAACCAGTTATTTCATCTAGAAAGTTAGATAATAAGAGGATATGGCCAGGGACTGATCATAATTCTAACAACGGGGAAAATGGGGAGACCCACAACAATCAAGCTCACATAACTGAGTAATTTTAAAAAGCTTTTCTTAGAGATATGAAAGATGATCAAGGATAAGCAGCCCTATGTGGCAGGAAAAACTTCAACATCTTCCCTTCAAGCATTGGTTTCCAAACTTTTTATGCCCCATTCCCCCAGGAAATGTTTAATATTTGCACCCCCTAAAAAGTAATTATGACTTGTGACCTGTCACTAAGGGACACAAGTCACTCTTTGTCATACCCCCTGAAATTGCATCTCTCATTTCCTGAGAATGTGGTCAACCCAGGTTAAGAACCTTTTCCTTAACGTCTTAGAATAGAATAAAATAACAGAGTTGGAAGGGACTTGGAGGTCTTCTAGTCCAATCCCCTGCTTAGGCAGGAAACCCTACACCACTTCAGACAAATGGTTATCCAACATCTTCTTAAAGACTTCCAGTGTTGGAGCATTTACAACTTCTGGAGGCAAGTTGTTCCACTGATTAATTGTTCTGTCAGAAAATTTCTCCTTAGTTCTAAGTTACTTCTCTCCTTGATTAGTTTCCACCCATTGCTTTTTGTCCTACCCTCAGGCTTTGGAGAATAGCTTGACTCCCTCTTCTTTGTGGCAGCCCCTGAGATATTGGAACACTGCTATCATGTCTCCTCTAGTCCTTCTTTTCATTAAACTAGACATACCTAGTTCCTGCAAACGTTCTTCATATGTTTTAGCCTCCAGTCCCCTAATCATCTCTGCACTCTTTCTAGAGTCTCAACATCTTTCTCCACTACTGTGTTAAGTGCTATCCACCCATCCTTAAATCAGTAGAAAATCATAAAGTTGTTGCCCCACTGGCAATTCCTATCCTAACTCTATAGTGACAATCCTACAATTGTCCTAATTTTAAGGCACTACTCATATAGTTCCCTGATTTTACTAGATGAGAAATAAGGTGAAAATATTGTACTACTTTAATCCCAGCACAGCTAAGGACGACTTAAGCTTTTGAGTCACACATGAGCTAGGCAAAAGATAAAAGAAATATCATGGAGACACACAGCAGAAGAAAGATGCAATGTAGAAAGAAACTTAGTTACAAATCTGCTCAAATTTACAAAGCACTGACTTAGGATCCAACTGCTTTAGAATTTTGGTATAGCTCTAGTTCCATCAGCTGAAATCAAGTGTAAACCTTTCATAGTATGTCACAGATGTGTGACTGTGTGAAGTGCAATTTATTTGTAGCTCCTAATCCTTTTTCTCATATTTTTTTACCCCCTCACATATATGAGGTAGTTAATTCTGCTACTCTTGGGAGAAGGAGAAGAGAAAGACCTGGTCTGACTGCTGAATACCACAAAATATCCAAAGGGTGAACTACCTGACTAGCACTGAAATTGAAAGGAAGATGGAAAATTCCCATACTTCAGGATTTCAAGAGCATAAGAGAAAATCCCAACAAGAATTGTCCTTAGGCCATAGAATAACACCAGGGCCAACACAGAGGTGTACGACCTGGACCGAAGCCCTCCCTTGCCAGCCTTCAGCATGATCCCCTCTACACCAATATATTGCAATTATTAATGTGGCAGAAATGGAAAATTCTTAAATAATCAGGGAATTATTTAATTCATTTAATGTGAATGTTATCTCTACTCCCATTTCTTAAGTTGGCCCCCATTTGTCAGGGAGGAGTGTGACCTGTGGCATGTCCCTTGAGGGCCACCTTAGTCCATGGGATAAAAAAATAAAATCTGAACACCTCTGGAGCAGAATGCAATGATGAAACAGTCACATTGTGGTCTCCTTCCTTCCTGTTCTGTTTTTATACCACGTCAGTGTCTTTGGCCTCTCAAAGTGCTATGTGGCAATGAGTGAAGTCTCAGTAGAGATAGCAAAGGGGTGGCCTGAATCGCCATGAAGCACCCTGTACAAGAGCTCCTCTTTCTCTCGGTGACCTTGCTCCCTCAGCTGGGTCTCCTTCTCCAGGGCCTCACGAATGGTCAGAAGCTCCTCAGACAGCTGCCTATTAAAGCATGGTAAGAATTAACAGTTCTTAGACCACAGTGTACAGGTAGGAAGGAAGAAATATGCATCAGTTTTCATTCCAAGGATTCGTCACTTCTTCTATATAAACCAAGTGTACAAATTGCATAGCTTAGTGGCTACATTTAAAGATTTTCCAATTAGAAAGACTTTGAAGGCTTTGTGGACTTCAACACCTTCCTAATTGGATCTAATGATTTTTATTGTTTTCTGCATTGGTGAAGAGGTTGTGGATTAGCACAATGGATTCTTGATTCCTTGAAGATATTTAAGATGCCCAATTTACCCCTTAACATTGCTGATACTCTGCATGAGCCCCAAAACACAAGCCTCACTCTCTGGAGAAAGATCCTTGAGGCATCAGAAATGACAATCCCAGTTAATTCCAGAGTCAGAAAGTCCTATAGATTCTATTCTTATTTGTGGCTCTTCAAATGTTACTGAACTCTTTATCATCAGCTGTAGCCTGAGTCTGGACAAGATGCTAAGCCATGATTTCCTTGATCATAATTTCTTGAATACATCATTATAAGTCATTTATGACATTATAAGTCATAAACCATGATTTCCAAACTATAATCACTTTTAAGACAAAGCTAGAGTAATGCCATTATGGCTTAGTGTGCTGTATGAGCCCAGCTAGTCGAACAGTTGGGAGGAATAATGGAAGGTTGCAGTTTAAAAACGTATGGAAGCCACAAAGCGCTCACCCAGTTTTACTAGGAGAAATTACTGACTGGGGAGAAAAGCACACATAATAATATATTCTTGAAAATAAACATCTTTAAAAAAAAAAAACTGCCGAAGAATTTAGTAGTTCGTCACATGTTTGTAATGCTACTAAGTACAGTAGCCGTGAGACTTTGGGGAATAAAAACATTTCCCATAGTCATCAGATTACACTGACACAGAAAACTGATCAAACAGGAATCATCTTTGAATGGGAGCCAGTTTGGGTCTAGTGATTAAAGCACCAGACTGAACTGAGTTCTAGCTCTGCCCTAAGCATAAAAGCTGGCTGGGTGACTTTGGGCCAAACACTCACTCTGGACTCCTCCCACTTCACAGGTTTCTTGTTGTGGGGAAAATAGGATCTTCTGCTCCTTGAGTTACTTATAAAATAATAAAGATGAGATAAAAATCTAATAAATAAATAAAATAAAATCTTTTAAGGTTACTGTAGTGAAGGCCCCACCTTGTCACTGTCATGTGGTTTTGCATCCGTACTTGGAGATCTTCATTTTCCTGTTGTAAAATTTTAATTTTCTCTTCAAGTAGTAAGTTTGACTCCATCTAAGAGAGAACCAGAAGGGTGAGCAAACCTCAGATACAACAAAGGTATAGCATGCAAGAAGTTCACATAAAGACAATGTAGCAAGCTGCAGAACTTTATGGGAATGTGATCATCCTAAACATATTTTCATCCTGGAAACTGTAGATTTATAAGTGCGCTAATAAAATCCTGGTCTCTGCCCTCATATCTATAGAGAATTGGGAATCACTTGCCCTTTGTACGAAATGGAAGAATATTACTGGTTGTAAAATATTTTTCAAGACCAAATGCACCTTCCAAAAGTCTTGGATTACAACTCCAAACATTAGCATGTATCTTTATGAAAAAACACATGATTTGCAGGGAAGGTCAAAGGTTCCAGATACAGTTCCCAATTCCCAACAGCTCCAATTAGAGCTGAAAAATGCCTATCCATAACCCTGAAGAATCCTTACCAGTATAAATAAAACATGTTCAGTATTATCAGTGATCTGATCTTGAGTTATACATGGATCTGCTCACAAAGAGAACTGAGACCCCTTGCGATCCATCAAACATAATCACTAGATGTTTAGCCTGTCACCGGGTCCCTCCTTCCTACTATTGCATTTGGGAAGTTTTGGGCAAAATGGAAACAAGTACCACTGCCAAAGTATAAGTGAATCATAGCGTTGTCTTGCAAAGGGCAGCCTATGAAGCTGTAGGAAGAGATCCCTGATTCCACCTCCCTGCTCTTGTTATCCCATTAAGGCAAGGAGGGAATGGCATAAAGGGATCCTAATATGGCCAGTTGAAAAAAAGGCTTGCTCATTTTGGAGAATGGAAGAAAGGGCTTTGTTGTACTTCCTCACAAATCAGAGGGGCAGGTTAAGGCATCCCTAAATAGGCTGGTAGATAACTACTGATTGGTTGAGATATTTCTATGCTTATCTGATGGCCAGGAAGGGGAAACCAATAGACTGTCAGTTCTCTGCATATTCATAAACATGTGAAAATGCCACTTCCTGTTGCATCAAAGTGTCCTAAAAGAGCCTTCTCAAGCCATTCTTCATTTTAATAATGAGATTAGATGACTTGGGCCATGAAAAAAAAAAGGTCATTTGGAAGGACCCTTAGAATAAGGCAGTTACCTATATTCCTATCTTTTCATTCCACAGTATCCAGTGCAGTGGTGGGTTTCAATTTTTTTTACTACCAGTTCTGTGGGCGTGGCTTGGTGGGCGTGGTACTGTAAAATCTCCATTCCCACCCCACTCCAAGGGAAGGATACTGTAAAATCTCCATTCCCACCCCACTCCAGGGGAAGGTTACTGCAAAATCCCCATTTCCTCCCAATCAGCTGGGACTCGGGAGGCAGAGAATAGATGGGGGCGGGGCCAGTATTTACCAGTTCTCTGAACTACTCAAAATTTCCGCTATCAGTAACTGGTCAGAACTTGCTGAAACCCACCTCTGATCCAGTGGCACAAAATTGGAAAAGGTGATTCTCACTTTCTCTTTTGAAGCACAATATAGCTCTTTTATGAGTCTTTTCAGTTACATTTAGAATTCATACAATTAACCCACCACTATTTCCAGGTTCAGCAGCTTCTTGTCCAAGCTGTGGATGCGTTCATTCTTCATCTCAATGACAAAATGTAGACTCTCTAGTTCTTGCTCCCAGAACTGGCTGGGGGTCCCATAGTCCTTTAAAGGTTTTTAATTTTAAAAAAAGGGAGAAATGCATTTATTTGTTTGTAAAAGCTCTGTTCTTTTTTTCCCCCCTAGCATAAGTTGCCAAAATAGCTAGCAAAAAAAGGCATTAAGCGTCAACTAGTCCAGAGCAGGAATGGGCATGCCTTGGTTAGTCCATGTAGCACCTGTGCTTTGCGAGCTTCATTGGTTGCCAATTTGTTTCCAGGTGCAATTCAAGGAGCTGGTTGCTTCCTATAAAGCAGGGGCATCAAACTTGTGTCATCTCGGTGGTGTCACCTGACATATCGCAACTTTTTTCCCCCTTTGCTAAACTGGGCATGGCCAGTGCATGATTTGCACTTACAATGGTTGCAGCTTCTTTCAATCAGGTGATATGATTTGCAACTTTCCCTGCTGGCTTCCCACAAGCAAAATCATGTGGGAACTGGCAGAGAAGGTTGTAAGTTTCTTGGGTAAGGCTCTCTCCCTATGCACCCTCTCTGAGCTTGTGTGCTTGTGCCACACCTTCTTGGTCACCTGCACTATCTTGTGCACTCTCCCCTACCCAGCAGCAGTCACCCCAAGCCTCACCATGCTCCACTGTGTGTCCTTTGCCACTTGTAGGAGCTTGCACCCCCTCCCCAGACACTCTTGCACTTCCTTGCTCCTTCTCCCAGCCAGCAGTAGCCACTTGCATGTCTCTGTCCTGTTTGCAAGCCCCATGGGTCTTGCAACTTCCTGCCAGCTTCTACGCTCAGTTTATTTGTGGAAAGCTGACAGGAAGTTGCGAGAAAATATTTGCTTAAGAACCCACTATTTTCACTTAATGACAACAGCAACAAGGACTGCAGGGTTTACCATTGCTCAGTGGTGTGATCATGTGACATTATGCTTTATGTCCACATTACTGTATTTTTCGGAGTATAAGACGCACCGGAGTATAAGACACAGCTTAGCTTTTGGGGAGGAAAATAGCAGGAAAACATCTGCCTACCAGGTATTCATCTGACTAGCGTCCTTAGTCTGGTCAACTTCAGCACATTAGTTTGCTGGTTTTTATCCCCTCCTTGGGGATAAAAAACAGCTTCTAAAGCACAACTGATCTTTGGAGAGAGAAGCAATGAGAAAATCAGGCAAACCACGGAGATCGCTTCACTCGCTAGCGCCTCTTTAAGGCTGAAAAAAAGCTTCACAGCTGAGAGTCGGAGGGAGCAGGCAAAGCAGGGAAGCGGAGATCGCTTCACTTGCGAGTGCCTCATTAGGGCTGAAAAAAAGCTTTGAAAAAGCTACATTTGAAGTATAAGATGCACCCAAATTTTCAGCCTCTTTTAGGAGGGAAAAAAGTGTGTCTTATACTCTGAAAAATACGGTAGTTAGTTGTAATTCAAGGACTATCCATAAACAATTTCAAGCACACTAAACCAAGGAGTGATAGGAACTGGGAAAAATAATTGTTTTTATGACCTTATAGTGCAGAATGGCTGCAAAAAGCAAAAGCATGTAAGTATCCTTCCTCCAATTTTTTTTATTATGGTTTTATTTTGGTATGTCCAGAAGACCCTGTGTTTAGACTCTGTTACTCGCTCTCTTTAAATAAACAGATCAAGATGTTCCATACGGTGTAAAGTCACCTGAATGTGCTTTTTATAATCTCTGCTCAGAATTGACTCTTCTACCCGTTTCATTTTCTCCTGAAAGGCCTTCAGCTGGGAAGTCAGCTTGTCAATGGTCTCCTGGAGCAGAAAGATGAGACAGATTAGTCTTACTTTATGACTTCCATCGCATTTTCCCTGCTCTCCACACTCAGTGCCATAGTGCTGGAATGAGTCAATTTCACCATTGGCTACCTCATTTTTAATTTCATCAGAACCTCAAAGGTTAATGATTTGGGACAAAACTTCCTTTTGACATTTCTTATACAGAAGCCATAGCAGTTGGAATGCTATACTACCACATTATTGGTTTTGGACATTTCTCCACCAATGATATTATAGCATCATCCTTCTATTGTTGTGATGTCACAAGACCTCCCCTATTTCTCTTTTATTATGAACAGAAGACTCTGGAAGATGCCATAAGTCATTAATTAGGATGTTGGTGTTTCCAAACAAGAACAGAATAGCGATAATAATTTTCTACCACCACACACCTATAGTCCTCAATTCCTCAAAGTGCAATATATAATAGAATGATCCAATTTATATCCCCCAACACTGTGTCCTCTAAAAGCACAAAAGTACAATTCCATAATTACCAACCAGAGTAAGGAAGCACATTGGGAAGGGGCCAGATAGAAGAATGCAGATCAAAACAGAGATCAAATAAGGATAGTCTTTTTTGCTGCCATCTTGACCTACTGTACTGAATTTGGACCTTTCTGTTTTCCTGAAGCAGAGAACCTGGTACCTGCAAAGATGCCTGAGTTTTTTGGTAGGATTCGGTTAGGAACAGCTTCTCTTGATCATGTGTTTTCTGGAGTTCTGCAAGAGAAATACGAAATGGGGGTCCAAACAAAAGAAAGCACAAGCTCCATTTTGATATATCCGTACTTTCTTTATATGCAGTGACTGACAGATCACTCGTATTGAGTCACATCCAGGAGGCAGACGGAGTAAGCAAACAGAGCATTGGAAATTGTATGGACAAAGAGCCAGAAGGCACTGAAAAACAGAATGGGCCACATTATTAAAGTATTGTGCATCTCAAGTGAATATGAGCTATCTATAGGGAACAAGAATTGAATGATGACAAATTGGTTTGGGGAGATGTCATACCGGTGATGAGCCAAGGGTTTCCTGCAAGAATCACCAATTGCTAGAGAAATCAGTAGGCACCACTTTCTTTATAGCAAAATTATGACTAAAGCTTTTTTTAGAGGTGATTAAGTGATCAGTCATTAAAAATTGTGCTCATGAATGTGATGCTATTCCTGCCATTTCATCCTGAATCTCTGTGGTTATTATTTGTGCTTTGGTCACTTGTCCACCTTTTGGTATCCTTCCCATAAAACTGGAGAGACTGGTTAATTATGCTGTTAATAAAGGACAGCTATCTGTGACAGGTAGGACCCAAAAGGAAAGCACTGAGAAGCAGAAGATCCAATGGACAATTTTGAAACCTCACTATAGGAGTGTTAGACCACCAGAATTAAGCCCATCAAGAAGAGCAATATGTATTATTATCAACAGGTTTATTATCAATCTGTATTATTATCAACAGGTACAGTATATGTAAACAGAAGTTTGTTCTGAAGGTCTTTCATTCAAACAAAGTATTAAACTGCAAGGCAAGGGATTCCCAATGTCTTTGGGAAGCCCCAAAGGACATCTGCACCTCATACCAGGTCAGATAGGTGGCCAGTCTCCTACTCCCTTCCCCTAAATATTACCATCTGATGGCTGCCTTTTCTGTAACGGCCCCTGCCCTAAAGAACACCCTCCCCCCTGAGCTTTGGCAGGTCTCTGCCCTCCTAGCCTTCCATAAAGCTTTGAAGACCCAGCTTTTCCCCCAAGTGATGAGATAAGAATAGGTAACTGCACATTAGAAGTTTGACTTGGTGTCAGGTGTTTATTGCTTTTAATTTTTATTCATTTATTTGTTCAATTTCTATGGCCACCCAACTCAGTCAATGATGCTATTAATGTTTTAATATATTTGGTTTTACAGTTTACTGTGGTTTTTATGCTGCTTGAACTTTTGATTCAGAGATGCCCAGGGTTGTTTATAAAAGGGGTGGGTATATAAATGTTTTAAGTAAATAAATAAAACCTGGACCTATCTAGATGTGGGGAGCCACAGTTATTTCATTGCCAGCCTTCATCTTTAATGGCAGAAACTTGCCAGACTCGTTTTACACTAATCTGGATGATTATTATTATTTCTGCCTTTTTTATATATAACTCAAGGTGGCATACATTGGTGCTTTATTTTAAAAAAGTCAGAAACAGAAGAAATGTCACAAATACCATAAACATGTTTTAGATTCTTACTTTGGAGTGTTTCCTCCTGTTCCCTCTTCAACATATCATAGTTTTCAGAGAATTGTTTGCACTTTAAATCCTCCTTCTCTACCTAAGGGAGGGAAAGCTATAAAAGGTTAAGCTGTAGATAAATTAAAAAATACATTATTATCATAAAACATGCATTATAATTTTGAGCGGTTTGCCTCAAATTGCCTCTTTTAGATTACAACTCCCAAACCACCCAGTTGACTGAAATGGGAGTGGCCAGATTAGCATTTTAATTTTATGCAGCTTTATGAATAACCCTAATGAATCTGCATCTGAATACACTTGCATAGGATTTTGAATAGAGACTGATGATGTTAGAAGCATTCTTTTCTCCTACTTGAACATCAGATCAAACAGATTTGGTAGGCTTTTAAAATTGGGGGGGGGGGACCCCCGCTAAAAAAAAAAAAAGGATCAATTGCAAAAAGTGTGTTTTTATCATGGAAAATTGTTAATTATTAACAAAGCACTGTGGCACAGAGATAAAGAAGCAGACCTGATGGATGAAAAATGATAGATTAATTAATGTTTAGTTCGTATCCATAGTCAACCAACAACCTGTGGCTGTTAAGAATATTCTAGTCTGTTATAGTGGCAAATATCTGTAGCTTGGGTGTAGGATGAGGGTGAAGGTTCGTTCTCTGAGCTTGTGGGTTGGTTTCTGAATGTTTCATTACCAGACTAGGTAACATCTTCAGTGGATTCTGATGTCAACATATGATGATTTAGGTAGAAATAGTATAGCTCATTTTCAGTAATGATGCCCATATCTCACAAGTCTTCGGTGGTAACTATTGGAAATCAGCTAGTTACCATTAGCAGAAACTGGCCCATGGTCTACTGACACAGGAGACAAATAATAAAGCCGTTAACTTTGTCTCCATAGCAACACTATCTCAATGCATTTTTTAGAAAATTAACTCTCAGTTAATCAGCTTCAATTAAAGTAGAAAGAAGGAAGTAGGTAAACTTTCCCCAACTTTGGGGAAACCCACAGGGATGTCTCTTGTAGTACCGCTCTCCACAAAGAGTGAGAAAAGGGGAAATAGTAGGAAAGGACATGCGCAGTTGTGAAATTGATGAGGTTTCCAATGTACAGGGAGAAGCTAACATTTTTATTCGTGTTTTTTTAAAGATCCCAAGTGAGTTCAAATATGTGGTCTTTAAAAACAGTGAGTTTAAACCAACTGAACTAATATAACAGGGTTGTTCATCTTCGAATACGAAAGTACTCTACTCAGGTGACACAAAAAGGGGAGCCACATAAATCCTAAGTTTGTATGGCGTCCCCAAGGGGTGTATTAGGGGCTTATCTGAATCTGATTACTGCAGAAAACAGAAGAAACAAAATTCAAAGCTGAAAGGAAATACACGCGAGCACCTAATTAGATGCATATTGAATGGGCAGGTCTAACCTGGAGCTGAATATGCTGGCTAAGTCTGTGAGTCTCAGCATGGTGAACTTCCTTCAGACAATCTTCCTCTTCCTGTTGTTGTTGTTGTTGCTGTTGTTGCTGGAGCCTTGTAGTCTCCTCCATCTGCTTCTCCAACAGTGCAGCCTTCCTTTTTTCTGCTTCATTGTGCAAATAATCTGTGTTGGCTTGTTCAAGGAGATGGGAGAAAAGAAGAATTACATATCAGTGGCTTTCTTTTCCTTTTCGCCATCTTGATTGTTATACTATTATTTTTCACCAACATTGTGACCAAAGTCCAGTTTATTATCTAAAAGGGGTTTTGGGAACAGATACTACATGCTCTATAAATACAGGTAGTCCTCGATTTACGATCACCATTGAGCCCCAAATTTATGTTGCTATGTAAGACATTTATTAAGTAAGTTTTGCCCCATTTTTGAAATCTTTCTTGCCTCAATTGTTAAGGGAGTCGCTGTAGTTATTCAGCTGGTAAAACAGTTGTTAAATGAATCTGGCTCCCCCCATTGACTCTGCTTGTCAGAAAGTCGCAAAAGGTGATCACATGACCATGAGACACTGCCACAGTCATAAAGATGAGTCAGTTGCCTGCCTGAATTTTTGTCATGTGACCACGGAGATGTCACTACAGTCATAAGTATGAAAACCAGTCATAAGTCATTCTTTTCGGTGCCTGAGTGTTGTGATCCACCAGCAGCCCTCGGAGCGGAGTCGGACAGTAAGGAGGCTGGGGAGGACCATGGGCCAGTCACAACACTGTTTAACTTTGAACGGTCACTAAATGCACTGTTATACATTGAGGACTACCTGTACAGAAGAGCATGAATTTCTGAAGAATCTTCTGGGATATCTGACATTGCTAGCAAGACTGCTCGTTCAGTCACACGCAACGTCTAGGGTCCTTCTAGAAGAGCCTGTGAAAAGCATCAGATATAAACTGGAAGTAACAAATGTTCATTTCTGTACATGCACGATTTGCTGGAGGACCTTAAACAAGCTACTCTCTCATACCATTTGTAATCAGTGACAGATAGGAATATTGGTCTGTCATGCGGTTAATGAGGGCTTATGAATGTTGTATGCAGTACAGAATATAGGAAGAGGGTTACATAAACCTGGATCCCCATGCATCTTGTCAGAAATTAAAACTCCCTAAATTCAGAGGGAATATGCAAAGAATGAGCTGCGGGTATCAATAGGTCTTTGATCAAACCAACGGATGCCCTTGAATATACAGTAGTGGCCAAAATTGTGGAAACCTTTTGGGAAAAGTATATTTTTGAGGTTTGATGGCTAATAACACCACTTTTTAAAGGAGTTTCAAGATAAACATATTCCACTGCTGGAATGCCCTGGGAATAGCCCAGACCTTAACCCAATTGAAAATCTATGGCGCCGACTAAAGAAACTTGTTAGTCAGAAGTGACCCAGCAATAAAACCCAGTTAATAGAAGCAATCATTCAATCTTGGTTTCACATTATAACAGCTGCAGAACTAAAAGACTTGGTTCACTCCATGGGAAGACATTGTAAGGCCATAATTCATGCTAAAGGTTATCCAACTATTAACTCACATGGTGATAATTTTTGTATATCTTGTTTTTTCTACGTGTTTCACTTTTCTTCTTTATACTGTAACTGCTATTCTAATAGCAAATCCTTCATAAAAGTTATTGCATTGCATTCTTGATTAAATTGTCTTTCCACTGATACATAATTTTACGGTACTATTCAAAAAAAAAAAGTGGTGTTATTACCGTAGCTAGTTTTAGAAAATACACTTTTCCCAAAAGGTTTCCACAATTTTGGCCACTACTGTAGAATTCTGTCCTGAGTACCACTGCTGACCTAAAACCTGGAAAGGAGGTTCTTTAAAATCCCGGATGAACCCAATTAAGATTTATAAATGAAAACAGACTCTTTTCGCTGCACCCTTTCCATTATTCACCACTGTATAAAGGAACCTGGCTGAGCTATAATAAGCGCTAAATGCTGTTCATTTAAACAACTGGAATTTGGTATTGCTTCTTTGTTGGGAAAGCCATAGAGATTTGTTTATTTAGAGCAAAAGATTGGTATACTATGAACTAGTGAAAAATACCTATTTATATTTCAATTATAAACATTCATACTCCATGAGAGCAACAATACTGTTTCGATATATAGTTCAAGAGCTAGAAAGAAATATTCAGTATAATTCTATTACATGCTTCGGCTGATGGGAACACATTTGTCAGCAGAGTGCAGAAGAATCTGTTTTCTTCTATCCAAACACTCTTTTATGTACCCACAAAAATCTACTCTGGATGGGTGGGGAAGACAGCTCCTCCCAAAAAGATTTGTGATCCTAAATGCTTAAAGCCTTGGCTTGTTTTTTAAAAATGAGTGTATTGCATGCAGACTGATGTTCCCTGTGTGTAGAAGTGCAACGTTGAGTAACGGAGTTCAGTATTTTCCTCAGCTCCTGCCCTCACTTCCTCTCCAAGGTAGCTTTAAGAACTCTGTTAGGTTTTTACAATAATAACTCTGGAGCAAAAGCCTTTGGAGCAAAAAAACCCTCAACGAAGTGATTAGAATAGCCTCTCAGTACAGTACATTTGATAGAATACTCAAGGATTAGTACATGGAGCTAATAAGGCAGGGAAGGCATAAAACTCACTCCAGAATCTAACATTATTTAACTGTACTGACATGTTCTGCAATGGTTCTCTGAGCATTTCTTTGAATCCCTCCCAATTTTTAAATCCGTGTTGAAAGCTCACCTCTCCCAAAGTTTGCTTATTTCCCCCAGTGATTGATTGGGTTGGAATTATCTAGGGAATTTTCAGCCAGCCCATCTGCCAAAGCTTTTGAACACTGAGAAGTTTAATCCTTAATTTAAGTGATCTAATTAAAGCCAATAATTAAACCTATCTATGACAAGAAATCAGAACAGAAATCAGAACATGGTCTCATACACACAATCCTGGATTACTATCCTACCCGTATGAACTCACATGAAATCGTTTTCTCAAACTGAGTTTATTCCAAAATCAAATTTATGATACACACAAGACTACAGGTAGTCCCCAACTTACAACCACAATTGAGCCCAAAATTTATGTTGCTAAGTGAGAAATGTATTAAGTGAGTTTTGCCCCTTTTTATGACTTTTCCTGCCACATTTGTTAAGTGAACCACTGCAGTTGTCAAATTAATAACATGGTTGTTAAATGGATCTGGTTTCTTCATTAATTTTACTTGTCAGAAGGTCACAAAACATGGTCACATGACCCCGTAACACTGCAACCATCATAAATATGAGCCAGTTGTTAAGATGTAAATCAGATGACCATGGGGATGCTGCAACGGTCATAAGTGTGAAAAATGGTCATAAGTCATTTTTTTCAATGCTGTTGTAACTTTGAATGGTCACTAAATGAACCTTTGTAAGTCGAGAACTACCTGTATTTTTAAGGATACCCTGCTGCTGTTACCTTCAGACAAGTACACCAGTCATTATTGGTACTTTATGGTTATGTTGTATAGAGCATGCTACAGAAGAGGCTGTATTAGGCTACTCTGTAAGAAGTTGTTTAATATATGCCAGTGATGGCTAACCTTTTCCGTACTGAGTGACCAAAGCACATGCATCATTTTCTGGATCACAACAGATCAGATGTACACTCAGCTTACTCTAGATGGAATCCATCTGCAAGCTCCAGATCCACATTTCTGTGTCCATATTAGGACAAAGTCTTTCTTAGGTCACCATCAAGTTCACGAAAATATACAAGCTATCTCTCAGCTTCTGCGAATGCCTTATGCAAACCTGGGATATCTAGTTTGCAGAGTTGTTTATATGCAAAATTTTTAACACAGCACTCGGTGTAAGACAGGCAATTTCATGCCAGATATCTGTTCAGAATTTAAGGTAGAATTCGATTTCTTTGAACCTGTGAATTATAAGTGCAACAAAAGCAACAGCAGAGCAAAATGGGAAAGGAGAATATAAGAAAAGGAAACAGTCAAAGCTGCTTCATGCACAGCTTGATGCACTAAATAAAGAATAAATAGTTATCTAAGGTTTTCCCAGCAACTTGAAGAGCTCTGGCTAGGAACTTTGGGGTTAATATGTCACTAGGTCTGAAAAATCTACATTTCAAAAAGTAACTACTTGTTTGCAGAGATGAGAGTGCATGACTACTCAGGAACATCAAGGAGAAGATGATTGCCAAGTCTTGACATATTACTTTTTTTTTTTTTTTTTTGCTTTAATTTATATGCTGCCCTTCTCCGGAGACTCAGGGCGGTTTACAATGCGCTAATGCCATTACTTGGTTCTACTCAAATATATATTTGTGTTCACATGTAGCAAACAACCAAAGACTCCCTAATTACCTTTATTTACTGTAACAGGCTACTGACACAGAGGGAGATGTTTTATTATGATTGCAATTCCCAGATGCTATGTCAAGAACCACCAATGGCTTTGTGAATAGGAGGCATCTTGAGATAATGGGTAAGGATACAAGGGTACAGAGCAAAGGGCTGTCTACATTATGTGGAACAAATGTGGTTTGAACAAAATTTATTTGGTAAAATCTCTTTATCAAATTAGAAACGAATGCTTTATGTCCATCAACCAGTCATTATTCTGGTTGTATATCATTAAATCTCTCGTAATGGCCTTTAACTGGGGGAAATGGTGCATCATTGAGCAATAAATTTTGACCCAAGGTACATCAAATGGGCTAACTTACAGAATGCATCCAAAATCCAGGACCCATGACGCCCGAGGGAATGATATGTGGGGAAGTCGTGGCTGCTTCAGTGTGATCTTCATTTTCAAATTTCCATGATATTTTTCCAGCCAGTCTCACAATCCCTTGCTTCCTCCCCCATCCTACAGCAGCCACTTACCCATGGGCAGGAAGGGAATGGAAAGGAAAGGGAGTGTGATTTCTGATGCTTGCTAAGTCCCTTCTGAAGTAAAACAGTATCCCTGTATTTCTTGATCTACAGTGCAAGAGAGCTGACAGCCTCCTGATGCTAAGGATTTATTTATTTATTTACTTTTATTTGTCGAGTACATATTAGATAATATATATAAGTATAAGCATGAATTGAATACATAAAATGAATACAATTAAAGGGAACATTAGGACAGGGATGGTAGGCACGCTGGTGTTCTTATGCACGCTCCTTACGGACCTCTGAGGAATGGGGTGAGGTCAACAGTAGCCAGTCTAAGGTTAAACTTTTGGGGGTTTTGGGATGAAACCACAGAGTCAGATAGAGAATCCTTGGTAACTCAGTAAATATTTATGCATAATAGCTTCAGTTCTACAACTCACAATCCCCTAACTGTGAAGAGGGTCCATTCAAGAGAAACATGTTTAGAGAGGAAGAATTGGTAGCCCCTTTTCACCACATTTATTCTGCAACTCCTCCATGCTGAGTTGAGGATCCAATAATGTTTTCATGGGAGGGAGTATGGGGGAAAGCAGAGATATAAGATCAATGCCATCTCCAATCTTCTACTTTTTAGCATGGAAGGAGGATATTTGAGGGAGTAATATTTGGATATTTGGGGATCATAATAAGCTGGTTTATAAAAGCCCAGTTTATTCCATACTTTGCAGAAATAGCTATGCTTGATCATATACTGTACAATATATACATATGTAGTGCATATCAGGAATTCAAAGATGTAATCAATAACAATTTATAGGATCACAGTGGCATTTTTCTTCCAATCTCAGAGCTGCACAGTGGCTCGTCAACCTATTAGGCACACATTACATTTTAAAATTCTCAATTCAATTTCTGGAAGAGAAGTTGGGTGGACAATTTCTCCAAATTTCTCTAAGGAAGAGTCTTCCAATACTTACTAGAAGACAGAACTCCTATTAGCACTAAAACAGCATCAAAAACCATGGTGGTGCAGTGGGTAGAAAGCAGTACTGCAGGCTACGTCACTGCTCACTGTCAGGAGTTCGATCCTGTTGGGTTCAAGCCTTCCATCCTTCCGAGGTGGATAAAATGATGACCCAGGTTGTTGGGGGCAATATGCTGACTCTATAAACCGCTTATAGAGGGCTGTAAAGCACTGTGAAGCGGTATAGAAGTCTAAGTGCTAATGCTATCACGATTGAAAAAGCCCACGGAAATTTCCCTTTTGATATTTTTGCTTAGGATTTAATTGAAGTGTGGGAAGCCATGGAGACAACAGATCATTGGAGAGAAGACTGGACGATATATGCATCTTTAGCTACATCGTAACTGAATAAATACAACAATATGACACTCGTATTCTCCATGACAATTTTACCAAAATCCTCTTCTCCTTTGAGAAAAATGTTTCTTTCATCAAACTGAATGAGTTAGGAGGGCGAGAAAGGTAAGTTCTCTGCTCAACAATTATACCTATCAACAGCAGGTTCTCATATTACTCTACCCAAATTCATCTCCAAAAATAATAACAACTTTCTATGTGTAGCCACTAGTTCTACAGAAACAAAGGTATCCTTCAGTGATTTTTCAAATGGAAAAGCATCAAAATAATAACTATCTGTACCTTCAGCCTTCAGTGCTATCAATTCACAGGAAGCTTGTCCGCTGTTATACTGAGTTTTTTTTTCTTTCTGTATAAAAGACACAAAGAGAAGAATAACTTACTGTATGGAGGAGGAGAGGAGGTTCACAAAGACAAAGACATGATAGAATCAGATCGTTTTGATGAAATTTTGATGCTTGGCAGCATGGGATATTCTCTGAATCCTTCTAACAGCAAATTATTCAATGGTGGCATAGTTCATAATTCCTCAGATTGACCATCAGTTCCTGTTTCATTTAAGAACTGCCCTTATTTAACATCTTGTGAAATCAATTATATCCTCTGTGCTTGGAATCATTGCTGTCAGAGGATATAATGCAGGGTTGGGCTTCAAAAATTTCAGCAACGGGTTCTCTGCCCAGTTGGCGGGTGGGCGTGGCCATGGTGGGCATAGCCTAGTCGGTCTCCTGCACCATGGCGGGGCCCCCATTTTTGCCTTCCCAGGCTCCGGAGGCTTTCCTTGAGTCTCTGGGAGGGAGAAAATTGTCTTCCCCGAGCTATGGAGGCCCTCCGGAGGCTTGTTTTCGGACTTTTAGAACTTCCAGGAGGCCCGTTTTTCTTCCTCCCCAAGCCTTCTGCACTTACCTCGTATCCAAAACGGGCCATGGGGAGACTCCTGGGAGGGGGTAGGCAGGGCCAGCCAGGGGTGGGATTTGAAGGTTCTCCGAACCGGCCATAACTTTAAATCAGGGGTGAAATGCTCCCGATTCGGACCGGATCACCTGATCTGGTAGCGATGGAGGCGGGTGGTTCAGAGAACCGGTAGCAAAAATCCCTGCCCCCCCCATTGCCCAGCTGAGCTGCACATCAGAGGCTTTTTTTAATTTTTAAAAGCATTTTTTCTACAACCTCTTTGGCCAAAAAATGCTTTTAAAAATTTTTTTAAAAAAGCCTCTGATGATCGCGCAGCTTAGCTGGGATCATCCGAGGCTTTTAAAAGCATTTTTTCTACAACCTCTTTGGCCGAAGAGGTTATAGAAAAAATGTTTTTAAAAGGAAAAAAAAGCCTCTGCCGATCAGGCAAATCAGCTGGGATTGTCAGAGGCTTTAAAAGCATTTTTTTTACAACCTCTTCAGTCGAAGAGGTTGTAGAAAAAATGGTTTTAAACGTAAAAAAAAAAAGTTGACCACACCCACTCAGTCATATTACCCCACCACCACCAAGCCATTGCCACAGAACCGGTAGTAACAAATTTTACATTTCACTACTGCTTTAGCTACGGGTTCTCTCGAATCCAGGCGAACCTGTAGCAGCCCACCTGTTATAATGTGTGTGTGTGATGCAGAAGTGAATGGTCCACCAGACTGTTGCTAAAGGTTAAGGTTTGTCCGCCACATGTAAAGACATTATTGATATATACCTAGCCCATCATTTTGGAAAAATAATTGTTCCGTTTTGCTACTTTTGAGGCAAAAGTCATGAAATCTAGGCAAAATTTATTCATTCTGTTTATTTATAAAACGTTCTATTGTTTATGGTAGAGAACATATTTCCTGGCAGGAAATTCCACTTTCCCCATAAAGAAACAGCATATCCTTGGAGTTCCCCTACAGATAGATCCCAAGCAAAGTTCACCTATAGATTTATCATAGGTGAAATAAATTGGGCTTAACTTGCTACGTCTTTCTTAAAGATGAAGGCATCAATCACCTGTTTCTTAATACCAAACATAAAGACTTCTAACTCACTGGTAAACAGCATGTCAAAGATTCTACATTCGGTATCTGGCATCTTCTGTTAAGGATTGGAAAGGCTCCCTGCCAATCAGTTTTGGCTATATACTTAACTGAAAATAGCTGAGATGTAGCATGGTCAGAATCAGGACTGTAAGAAATTGTCTACTGCTATGTACATCTTTGCCATAAGTTAAAGTAATGCTCCCTTTAATTGTGACAAACTGAAGCATCACACAGCATCTCACAGCTGTGACATGGCATTGGGTATCCTTAGCTTCCCTCATCAGTTATCTTTTCATCCATATGTTTTATGTTGTACTATCAAGGTAAATCTATATTGTTTCTCCAAGATGCAAATACATTGTTTAAAATGTATTTAAACAAAGACTATTCACACATGAAACAAAAAATAGCGTCTGCATCAGGTAGATTACAATAATAGATCTCATTCTGCCTTTAACTATCTGTGCTCACATTGTACATATAGCTGAGTTGCTTTTCTCCATATTGCCTATGCTTCATCGTGTCTCAGATGCTATGAAAAACCCATAACTTTATTAGCCAAAAGATGTCGGAGGCCAAAAGAACTGCACACAGAAGGAGATTTATGATAATATTGGACTCCTGCAATGCACTCTACATGGAGCTGCCTCTGAGGACCATTCAGAAGCTTCAACTAGTGCAGAATGGAATAAGTAGTGCTGGTTCCTCAGCACATGTATCTTCACTACTTTGTGAGCAGATTTATTTGCTGGCACCCAGTGCTTCAGGGTCCAATTGAAAGTGCTGGTTGTCACTTTGAAAGCTCTTCATAGCTTGGGACCAGATTACTTGAAGGACTATCTATTTTCCTGGATGTTTCTACTTGTCTGATCCAGTTTGGCAGAATGGGTAATTTCTGGGGCTCAGGGGGACCCCATCTCACTAACCCCCATCTCAATGGGACCCACCCCTCCAGGGGACCCCATCCCAAAATCTATTTATTAGATTTTGAATCCCATTTTTATAAGTAACTCAAGGTGGCAACCATATGTAAACTTCTTTCCTCTTCCTATTTTCCCACAACATCAATCCTGTGAGGTGAGTTGGGCTGAGAGAGATTGACTGATTTTAAGTCGTCTAGTCAGCTTTCATGGCCTAAGACCCAAGAGGCATGTTCCACCTTGCAGACCATTCTTCTTTCAGATATTGGGATGCCCTGATCTGGTTCTAGATCTGGGCCTGTGGCCCCAGAGTGGGTGAAGGATGCTGTGCCTTGACTGTGCTAGTGACTGTTGATTGTGATATTTTCCTCAGCTGCTATGTATTTGTAGTTGGAATTGTTAATTTATTTGAAGATTGCTTGCTGCTCAGAGTCATTTAATGAGCTGGGTGGCCATACAAATTGAATATATGAATAAACAAACATTGCAATAAAGGGGAAGGAAGGAAGGAAGGAAGGAAGGAAGGAAGGAAGGAAGGAAGGAAGGAAGGAAGGAAGGAAGGAAGAAGGAAGAAAGGAAGAAAGGAAGAAAGGAAGAAAGAAAGAAAGAAAGAAAGAAAGAAAGAAAGAAAGAAAGAAAGAAAGAGTTCAATGTCAATAAATCATATAAGAATCAAACCCAGACCCTTTTAAGTGCAATCAAATAAATGTTTCCTACATTTCTGAGAAATTCCTGCGGAAAAAAATTGCAAGGAAAAAGCAAATAATTTCAGTTCCAGACCAGCCTGTACAATAAGCGGTGAAGTTATGAGCTCAGCACACCAAGCAAGATACAGGTAGTCCTCAACTTACGACTGGTCACTTAGCAACCGTTCCAACTTATAATGGACCTATGTGGGGGGTTACTTGCAATATGGATTCAAAATATCAACAGTTGGGCCCTCTCAGGATCATGTGACCAAACTCAGCAACCGTTTGAGCATTCCATGGCCATGTGCCCATGTTGTACAATGGTTTTGCTGAAAACTGGCATTTATTTCCAGTTTTCAGCAAAACCACGCCTATAGCATACCATTGGTTTGTTCAACTACTGCAACATTTGCTTAACAAGTGCATTGGCTGCTTTATGACCATGAAATTCATTTAATGATGCTGCAAAAAGGGTCATAAACATTTGACAATTGTCACAACTTACAAGGAGGACTTGACAAAGATTATCTGTTTATTGACACAGGGTTTACCACAGTTTTTTTTCAACCTCAGCTACTCTGCTGGCTGGGGAATTCTGGGAGTTGAAGTCCACCCGTCTTAAAGTCACTGAGGTTGAGAAATACTGGTCTACCGATTTAATTGCAGAGTTGGAATAGACACAGAAACATTCTGAATAACAGATGTGATTAAATGAGCTAGAATGAATTTGGATCATTGTCTTTCCTATTCTGGGGTCACATTGTGAAAAACCTAGAGAGTTTTTTTTTTAAAAAAAGATCCTTGCACATCTGAAAACACACAAACATGGATTGTAACACCCGCCCTCGTATTCCCTTCAGTGGAGTATGAAATATATTCAGCTTCCCTTCTCTCTTTATTTTGCATTCTGCTTTTTGTCCTTGCAGCTGGCTCCATCATTTACCTTAGCTGAGCTGCGAAAATTGGGGCCCCAAACTCCCTTAAGGAGTGTCTGGGAAGGAGCAGCTGGAAAACATGAAGGAGGCTTAAGAAACTGACAAACAAGACATGAGAGTTTGGCATCACACTCCACTGAACTGGGGTGCAACGCACACTTTCCAAGCGTTGTGCCAGACACCTCCCCTTAACCCAAACTTCACACCACATATGCCCATAATTCTCTTGGAGCAGCACACAGCTGGGCAACCGGGTGAAGCCAAGCTGGTAACTCAACAATAATTTGCTGCTTTTTATAGCCAGCTCTAGAGGTTAAAATCAGGGTGCAGAGTGAGTGCACTGTCCTTCAGAAGACAATAAATTAACACTGGTTATTAGGCAGAATCTCAGTCCTAATAATTCCTCCAAATATCTGGCACTCACCCATATCCAGCAGAGGCTGCAGTTCAAGCAGTGATATCATCTGTTCAGGAATGCTTTGTTACAGCATCCACTGTTTTTACCACCTCCTTAAGCTTTGCTACTGTCAGAGTTTCCATCTCAGCCTGGTTTTAAATAAGGATGTATATAAGGATTTCAGATCTTGATTATGGTATTAAGACTGGGCGCTGCATCCATTTTGCAACCAGCTCTAAGTAGCAATAGCAAAAAAGCACTTAGACTTATATACCGCTTCATAGTGCTTTTTCAGCCCTCTCTAAGCGGTTTACAGAGTCAGCATCTTGCCCCCAACAATCTGGGTCCACATTTTACCCATCTCGGAAGGATGGAAGCTGAGTCAACTTTGAGCCTGGTGAGATTTG